TACGCAGGTATGTGATATATTGTAGTGCTGTCAGGATTGCCGCTGCTGCTACTACAGTTTGTGGGTGCGTCTACACGTGCAGTGAATGCATCTGAACACACTCTGGTGCAATTTATGCTCGAGTAACCTAACCTCGGTGTCACCATCTACACATGCGTTTAAACACAGTCGTTTACTCTGCTGTCAGATAGTACCTGTGTCAAACGGGACTATCCTACACCAGAGTAAATTAATCTACTGCGCCCAAATTGTGGTGTACATGTAGACAGTGATGCTTTGATGCACAGTAAATTAGTCTACTGCTCAGTAAAGCTCATTTGTAGACAGGCCCAGTGTGTTGAAGACCTCAGGTTCATAGCAAGAACGACCACAGGCTTGGCTCTGGTGAATGCCCCACCACTGTTTGCAAAGCACCACTCATTCACACTGGACATGTCCACACGTGTAAGTTATGCAAAGCAATAAACTCTGGTGTGGTTTGCACCGGAGCTCATTGCTCCCAGGTACTACATTTGTACATGTGCCCAGAACTGCAGCGCGTTGAGCTAGGGCAGAGCAGACATTGCTGGCAGGGGACCTGGGCGATCAGCTGCCAGCCTGGGGCTGCTCCAGTCCAGCTCCACATGCTACAGAGGGGCTGGCTGGGGTGCAAGGGTGCTACAGTGCAGGGCTAGCCAGCGGGCAGCCCCCCCACTGGAGCACCTTTGTGCCCCATCAGCACCTACACATGTGTTGCAACAGAGTAAATAATTCTGCTGAAGGATAGTACTTGCGTCTAGCAGTGCTGTCCTGTGGCAGAGTTAATTAGTTTACTGTTGCCTAATAGCACCGCATGTATAGACGCTAACATTTTACTGCAGAGCTAATTAGTCAGCTGCACAGTAAATGTCCCAGGTAGACTTGCCCACTCTTGGCCAATGGGTCACAAGGTGTTAGTTAGTACAGGATGCCCATAATAAGGTATTAGCACAAATCCCATCCCCTAGACTTGTAAAAGGTCCAGGGCTTTCCAGTTTCCCTTTTTCACAATGAGCGAACCAAATTACATTTGCATCATACACATCTTGTAACTTGTGCTTGACACAGCATTTTACAAGCTCATCGGTAAGATGAGCCTGTATTAAACCTTCCCCTTCACGTACATCCCATTATTGTCTAGACTATTCAATACCCGCTTTATCAATCGGGGTTTTTTTATGAATTGGTACAACCTAAATGTGCATGCACATTCTAGCTTTAGCTTGGCTCCCATGAGGTCCGCGTTAGTCGGTGCTTCAGGAGTGTGTGTTGATCAGTGCTCCGGTAAGGTCCCGGCACTGAGAACAATGGGATCACAGGACTTGTTTGTGGAGTTCAGTCCCCTTCTGCTGCAAGCCTCCGACCCTACTTCTCTGAATCTATCACAGACCCCTTTCACAAATGGATCCAGCACCTTCTTAATCCCTCCCTGAGCTGATGTGTGGAAGTCCACTTTCCAATGCTTGAGGAAGTCTATAGGCAGACTATAGGAAGTCTGTGTGACTCTAGTGGAGTCATGTGAAAAAGGGCAGTTTCTCCAGAATAGAAAGAGTTGCTTCCCTGCAACACAGAAAAGACTCATTATGGGTCTCCTAATCCATCAAGCCCCTCCTCTAGGCTAGGAAAAAAAACCTAGTGCAGTGAGAGTTGAATATGGATCTTAAACTGCACTTATTAATGTCAGTGGTTTTCAACCTGTGGTCTGCAGACCCCGGAGGATCCACAGACTATGTCTAAGGGGTGCATGAAAGATGACTATGATCAATCAAAAAGTATGTGAATACCCACACTTACAACTCAAAGGGGTCCACATTTCCATTTAAAAATTCCAATTCAATATTTTTAGGGGTTCAGAAATGAAAAAAGGTTGAAAACCACGGCTATATCTTAACTTACTAAAAAACAGAAAGACAAAAAAACCAACTCTTTTTTACCTACTTCAGAGTTTGTTCCCCCTAATCAGCTTCTTGGTAAAAAATTAAAGAAAAAGAACCAATATCTTTACAAGAAGGGACTACTATATACCAGTTGTGCCTCTTAATCTGCTCAAAAAAACTTGCATTTTTGAGGGCAGTTTCCAGCAACCAAACCATATGGCTATGCTCATTTTGCTGTTGGATTATTCAGTGTGTATTTGCAATCATAGGGCGCTTGTCCATGTTACACCTTTCCTGTTTCCACGTTACACTTTTCCTGCGTCCACGTCGCAAAGATTAAGCCACCTAAATTGCATCTGCAGAGCCACATTGTCAGCTGATTTTATCGTTTTATTCATTTATGTATTTTTGTCATTTAAAACACCTCCAACATGTTTTATTTTTAGCTCCTGCATTTCTTCCAGGAGGGTTTTTTTTATTGTTTTAAATTTTCAACGTGGATTTGACATTCATTCCTGCCTGTGGCAGGGGGTCAGGCTAGATGATCTGTTTGGGTCCCTCCTGACCCTAGCTGCTATGAAACTATGACTTACGCCCAAACTGGGATTTTTCCCGCTTTGCAACAATTTCACCGCCAAGTGCTGCTTGGGTTCACTCGGAAATCCATCAAATTTCTCTTGCAATGATTCAACCGGATGCCAGGTGCTAATCTTGCAATTTTTTTACTGATTATTTTACTGGTCATTTCAAATGAATGACAAATGACATTTCCAAAAAAAATAAAAAATGTTCCACCTTTTCGCACGCGCTTTGCTTCTGGCTGTCCTTTCCCCCACTGCCACTGCCACTTATCAGAGCCTCAGCCTCTGGCATTCAACCTGGCCCCCACCTTTTTATGCTGCTCCTGCCCAGTTTTGTTTTAATCATGGAAAAAGGTGGATCTGGGGTTATTTTTTTTAACCTGAAAACTGGGGATTTTTTTTATCAGAGAAAAGCAGGATCCCGGCTCATTAGCTATCAACCCCTTACTCAAAGCATTCTCTGTCTTCCGATGAGCCAATGTCAAACAGGCCACAAACTTTCTCTTCCAGCACCACCACATCCAGTATATGCAGCACCTGCCTGACATCCTCAGCCTGCAGCACGCCTTAATCCACTCCTACCAGAACTGCGACATCCATGAAGAGGGACGGTTTTCTGTTAGAGAGTTTTTGGAGCAGTCTCATATCTCAGGTACAGTGTCGACTTCTAGAGTTATTGGCCCGTTTCCTCCCTTTGGATAAGTTCCCTCTGTATCAATGGGGTTAAGCTGCTGGCTGGCAAAAATCAGTAGGCCTGTGCAAAGCAGCAAGCATTCAATTTGGATTCAGATTTGGCTGATTCGGAGGGACAGTGACTTGATTCGGTGATTCGTATTGCTGTCCTGATGCGATTCGGATGATTCGGAGTCGGCGATTCGGCGCCAATTTGGAGATTCGGCCATAGGCTATAATGGGGAATCACTAAAATACCTCTAACTTTGTCATTGCTTTGCAGATTCAGATGAAAGCAGCAGGGCTGATATCCCCTTTTAAGGGCATGAAGCCTGCCAAGTTTCAAGGAGCTAGGTGCAGGGGTTTCTGTGAAAGTGCACTTCAAGCTGTTGCAAGCAAAACTCATATCACGTGTACGTGTTAAGGCAGAGCAGGATGAATGCAGCAGGGGTGGTAGCCCCTCGTGTGGGCACGAGGCCTACCAGATTTCAGGTTATCTGACTCACTTGGTGCCATTGGCTATGGAAGCAAACACAAAAGTGGGATGTGAATTTAGGGTGCCTGTACACGTAGCAAGGGGCTGCTCTGACACCCTGTAATTAATTGAGTCTGCTGGAGCGTGTTAATTAGGGTTGTCACAGGCTGACACCCAACCTGTGAGAAAAGTGGGGGGGAAAGAGCCCCGGCACCTGTAGCATCAGGCAAGAAAACTTTCTCGCCTGACCCTACATGGCAATGATCCCAGGAGCCTGGGAAGATGATAAAACACCCTCTAGTCCATTTTGTAGCCTAGGGACAGCAAGCGTAACTCCACATATCACTCCCTCTAGCAGCCACCCAAACCTCCCATTGCTGTCATCTGATCCCCTCCACAAACTGGTTCTAACTCATTTAATCTTCTTTTGGGATTACGACTTTTTTTGGTGGAGCAGATCTGCTTTTGCTGCCTTTGAGCATGCTCCTCTCCGATAGCCACACAACTTTTTATATTTTTACCCAGCATCTGGAGATAAATCTCCTTTCATGTAATTGTCGTTGAACTTCTCTTTAAACCTTGTAACCCTAAGATATACTTTAGCAATGAGACGCCAGGTTTTTACATATATACATACACGTATGTGTATATATGTGTAATATGGTACACAGTATATATACGTGTACACACACTCCTGAATAACATATATTGACAAATGTTTTTTTCCTCCCCTCCCCAACTTCAGGTGATCAACGTTTGGCTTTTGAAGGAGCTGTACACATCATTCAGAAAGTTTGGAGTAATATAAAATTGAATCCTAAAAGCACAGGTATTTGGACTTTCATGGCCTTCTGATTTTCTTTCTAGATAGTCTCCTGTCATGTGCCAAATTAAGGAACGTCTGCTTTTCTCAGTGGGACTGATTCACCAAGGCAGTATTTGTGGGGTGACGTTGTATCTTCATTTGATCATCTAAGCAACCATACGGCTTGATGACCAAATTGAAATCACATTGAGACATCCAAATGAAAATCATAAACTAAGAAGATGTCTGCCTTTCTTGATGGGGCTGATTTGAGCCATGGCAGGGTGTTGCAGCATGGTACCCGAACCAGCTCATTTTGCATTGCTCATTGTTGTCATGTCTTCCAAAGACAAACAATCAGGTATTGTAGTCCCGGCCCTGTTACTAGGAAGGTCTGAGAGAGCAGGGATCCCAGGGCCAGAAAGTTCGGCAAGGAGTAGCTGAGCCCAGCACTAAAAAGGCCAGGTAGCTAATGAAGCAATTAGCTGCACCTGGTCCCTGGGTGCAGCAGACCTGGAGGTTGGAAGGAGGCTGGGCTTGGGGATATAAGCCCAGTTTCTGACCATGCAAGCATGCAGCAAGGAGAGGTGTTCCCAGGAGAGAAGGGCTCTCCAAGTCGCCCAGGGAAGCTGGGTGAGATGGCTCTGACAGATGTAGGGCCTGCAGGCAACATTTACCTTGGGGAGGGAGAGGATTTGCTTTGCAGGGCAGCTAGCATCTGTTTTTGTTCTGTTTGCTCTTGAGACCAGAGGACCAGGTTGTGGCTACAGGGGTAGAGGGGTAGCCATGAGCAGTGGTGCCTGGCCGGCCCTCCCCTGCTGTAGGTGCCAGCAGCTAGCCCCTCTGGCATGGTGATACAGGAACCCCAGGCGGGACTGCACCAAGGCAGGACCGATACCTAGGAGCTAAGGTCTTAAACAGTGGACCAAGGTGGCGGGTGTGACCAGAGGAAAACAGGGCCAAGCGTGCAACAGCTGAAGCGCCAACAGGTGCTCAGAAGCCTGCAGCAGCACCCAAGGGAGAGCACAAGCTCCAGGTGCGAGGCTGGCCTGGTCAGGCAGACAAGATGACCAGTGGGGTTACTCCTGAACCCAGGGACCGCCTTCCCCAACAACCAGCAAAATAACACCTGACCTCCCAGTTCCAAAGACAGACTGGCTGCGTCTACACAAGATGCTGACGCATACACAAGTACTAAATACACGCACAAGTACCAGCCTTACTGCACGCTAGCCTCCCCGAATCGCTTTTTGGTGATGCTTTTTGGTGATGCTGACTGCGCAGTAGAAACGAGTTAGGGAGCAGTCAGCATCTCGTGTAGATGCAGCCACCGAGCGCTAGTGTCTAGACAGGACTTGTTTGAACTTCGTAAGCATGCTTAAATTTGACATGCAAAAACAACCAATCTGCAATGGTTGGAAATCTTCTTGTGACAAATGCATCTAATTTTCCTCCCAGTTTCACCACTGGCAGGTGACAGCCTGTGGCAGTGACTCCATATGCACGGAGTGGCCGATTCTGTGTTCTGTTACAGGAATGCAAATCCCCGAACAGCTGCAAAATAAAGAAATCGACACTGACACCGCCGTCCTGGACCTCCTCCCGACTGACCCATCCATCAGTTCCATCGTTACAAAATTCCTAATCGAGCTCCAGAACAGCTTAATCGACACAGCGGCTCAGCTCACTAAAGAAAAGCAAAGGTATCCTCCAAACTTCTCACTTGTGGTGACTTGCACAGACTAGGCAACCCACCTGACCCCACACCGCTCGCCTAGCCCGCAGCTCAGAAAGGCTGGACACTGCTCTGAGCCCTACAATTTACATTTTGCTTCCTGAGTTTTACTCACTGCTGCAAGGTGTTGAAGTACCTGATGCTTGCTGTGCCTTACAATCACATGATTCTCCTAGACAATTTGATTTATGTCAGAAAAATGGGAAGGTGCAACAGGAGGCCACCCTGGCTAGACCGCAGTCTCTTGAATGAGCTGAAACCCAAAAAAAGGAATCCTTCAACAAAGTGAAAACTTGGTCATACTACTAGGGAAGAGTATGAGAGTACTGCATGGATAAAATTAGGAAGGTTGAGGTGCGACTGGTAAGGGGCATAAAAGGCAATAAAAAGGGATCTACCAGTTCGTCACAAGCAAGAGGAGGACCAGTCAATGCGTCGGCTTCCCTATGGACCGTGGAAGGCAATTTAATTATCGATAATGCAGAAAAGGTTGAAGTGTTGCGGGCACCTATACATGTGACAGACCTCTGCTCCGTGTGCTAATTAGCACGCGTCGGAGTAGACGTGGCTATTTGAGTCTGCTAGAGCGTGCTAATTTGCACGCTCCGACAGCCTCTGCATCACATGTATTCAGCGTCCCCGTGTTTAAAAGTGGTGGCAGGGGCGTTTTTACTGCAGCTCATTGAATGAGCTTTAGTAAAGCACCTCCGCTGCCATTTTGAGCGTGGGACACCGAATACACATGACACTGCGAGCCATTCCAACTAAAGCGCCCCCCCACCTCCACCTCGGAGCACATGTCTAGGCACCCATAATGTATTTGTTTCTCTCAGCCTTCCTGAGCAAGGAAGCGATTCCTTTGCTCTACTCAGCAGTAGTGAGGCCTCACCTGGAGTCCTGTGTCCAGTTTTGGGTCCTGTGCTTCAAGAAGGATGTGGGCAGGCTGGACAAAGTCCAGCTCAAAGCGACAAACTGAATAGGGGTCTGGGAGGCAAGATGTATGAGGAAAGGCAGAAAGAACTAGGATGATTTAGGCTAGAGAAGAGAAGACTGAGGGGGGATTTGATAACAGATCCCTTCCAGCCATCTCTCATGAGCTCTACCCGGGCAGACAGTGAAGTTGCTTTAGTCCCCTTACAGGTCTGTTCTGAGTCGGTATTTGACTGGTGCGTGACAACAGAAATATTTGCTGTCTTCACTGCATTTTGAGCGGTTTGGTCATCCTTATGGATGGTGGTCTCACAAGTTTATTTGGGGTGGCCTGAGATCAAAACCCAGCTCTGGCACTCGAATACCGACGGACATTGAACAAAGAGACCACTTGCTGGTGCCTCTTTTGTCAGCATTGAGTAGAAATGGGACCGTGTGTTTTTCTTTATAACCAAGCAAGATGGCAGCAACGAACAGACCCAGCTTGTAACTTCCATTGACCAGGACTAAGGTAGGGATGGGCTGTTAAAGCACTGTGTTACAAAGCAAGAGACGCAGGTCCCAACCCCTTGAGCAAGGGGGGCCGAGAGCTCGATCTTTTGTTCCTTGGCAAGTGCCCTGACCGCTCAGCTCTTGGGCAAAAGCCTAGGGGGAACCTCCTTCTCCCCACCCCACACAATGTTCAGGGCAGTTTTGAACCTGAAGCTATGAGCAAACACTAAGCCCTGAAGTTATGCAACTGTGACCAGGTCATTTAGGCATCTGGAGTGGAATAGGATTGTGCCATGCCTCGTTTTTAATACCAAGTATTTTCTCGCATGATCCCATGACTCCAAGAATTGGGGTGTTCGAGGAAAGCAAGTATAATCGCAGGAATCCCATGTTTGGGAGCCTGGAGAGCTGGAAATAAATAGCCCAAGCTGGCTCATTCCTCCTTCAGTTTTGGTGGCTGTAAAGAGGGCTTCTCCTCACATTGCTGCGCCCTCTTCTCCAGGTCTGTTTCCGCTGAAGAAGTGCGGGCGTCATCTGTGATAACAGTTACCCCAAGTGACATGATCACTATGGCACTGTCAAACTTCCAGTATGTGTTGGAGGAAAACGGGACCAAGACCACCCAGTTCCACTTTCAAACTCTGCAGAGGCAAGCAATAAATCGGTTCATCAGTGGGAAACCCAGTATAAAAGTGCAGGTGAGTTCAGGACCAGTCTCATTTGGGGTAAGAACATAGGCAACACATAGGAGGGGCTTGGTGAATCAGGCTCACCATCTTCAATCTGAAGGTAAGATCTTCAAAAACACCGCTGTGGCTAGGAGCTTAAGTGCAATGTTTCACAGGGACGTACATCCTCGAGGCCAGCTGATCTGGAGCTTTTGGACAGCGTGCACTTTGGGAAGAAGCTGTGAATATGTTGAGCCATTCCCACTTGGATGTTTTGGAGCGAAACGTGTCAATATTCCATTGGAAATGACTCTTCGTTCCCAAATTTTAGTAACTTAAAAAAAAAAAATGTTGATCCCAGTTTTAAAGTGCAACAAAATGTTTGTAATTCCCCACAATTAAATATGTTGATCGGCCCAAATGCAAAGCAGTTTCAGGGTTACTGTGCATGACAGCTGAGATGTTGATTTGCCAGTATTTGAGACAGAAAACACTTTGGAGGTTTGAAAAATCTTGCAGGACTGGAGAACTCCTTCCCAGCCCAGTCCTGTTAGGAACCTACATTTCATTGCCCTTTAGCAAGATAGTCCAAGGTACAGGTAGGCATCGTGGAGGTTACTAAAACGTTCCTAGGCAAGTTCAGCACCGATCTCCCATTAAAAGTCAATGGGATCCAAGAGCAGTAAGCTGCAATTTTGCATGTTCGTGAAAATCATGAAATTAAGGGATTTTCATGAAAAATGTGATTTGCAATGAAATGCCACAATACGGCCACTTGCAGGGGAGTTCCCCAGCAAGTGGCCATACCATGGCATTTCGTTGCAACAAGATGGCTTGATGCAGGCCATGGTGGCTTCTGCCACGATATTATTGAGCTGGGCCTGCGATTTAAACCAGGGGTGCCTAAGCACTGTGTTCAGTCAGATCCCTCATTGCTTTTTGCGCTGGGACTTCAGCTCCTAAATCACTTAAGCACTTTAGAAAATGTAGCTTTAATACTTGAAATGTCCATTCATGGTCTTTTCTGTGTACGCAGAACGATGCCGTGCTTGATATGCGAGTCACTGACAACTACCATGTTCCTTTTCAGACAGCTCCATCCATGCCACCATGGCACTTGAAGACGCTGCAGTTCACGAAGGCCAAAGTTAAAGAACAGCTGCCTCAGGTAACAGAGACGTGGGTCATAAAATGCACAGACCTAACCTGTTGGGGGACTTTCTCTCAGGGCATCACCAGGCTTTATAGTCTTAACTACCAGAATGGATTAAACGCCATGTCACTTGTGCATTATTTACCCATCTTGCATATGATGATATTGATTTTCTTCATGCATTGTATGCAATAGCTTAGATCCTGCAAGGCCAGGACAGAAATCGCATGAGGAAGAGCTGATGCCCATACAACACAATGGAATTGTACCACGGGTTTGCCACCCTGTGCTAGTTTCATCTAACTGGCGCAGGTGACAAAGGCAGGCAAGAGAGGGTGGTCAGGATATGGCACATGATGATAACCAGAGAGCACCCCTGGGTTCCCTAGAAACTTTGTTCCCTAGTTGCTAGCACATGGAGCTGCATCCTCGCTGCTCTGCACTAGCTGGGTGCAGCTAGTACAGGTGTCTGAGCAGGCATAGGCAGTGCGGGGCTAATGGGGCTTGGCCCTCCCAAACTCATTTCACGGTGGCTGATGACAGCTCGTCCGGCACCACGTAGCACCAGTACTTGCAAGCCCCACAACGGTGCTCAGCCCCCAACAAATAATATTGTCTCCCATCGCTACCACGAGCAGATGCCACGAACAACCATCACTGTGCTGCATGGATGTGTCCTCAAATACCCAGGGGGTTCGAACACCACTGACAGCAACAGGACCTGAGTGCCTCAGTCCTGCGTTATTTTTTTCACCTCTTCTTGTGTTCCTAGGAACCGTTGAGCGTGAGTCAAGTGAAAAGCGTTATGGAGGTGGCTAGGTCCGTGAGCGATATCTCCAGAGCACTGTCCACGTTAAAAGTAGCTGCCGAGTTCCTAGCTGTGACTGGAGGGGAGCCAGGGCGCCTCTTGACTGACTATGTCAGAAATGACCTGAGGATGGATGCAGATGCAAAGCACTTCAGGGACCTACCAGTAAGAAAATGGACTTTGTATTTTGCATATGTGAAAGTGGAGCTCTCCTTGTCAAATATTTTGTGCTGCTTATCTCCGTTCCTGGTGGTTACTTTGAAGCGCGGGTGTGTGTGTTGGGGGGGTGTAATTATATATAAAATGGTACACTAGGAATTAAAAAAAAAAAAAATTGTTCTACAGAAACTGGCATACTGAGCAGAGTTAACCTTACCTGACATTATTTCTTTGAGAAAAATTGCAAATCTTGTTTGAAAAGCTTAAAAACAAAACAGAAAACCTCTCTCGTCTTAGTTTTCCACAAACTGAAAAGATTTTAATGGTGAGGAAAATGGAATGGGGGATTTTTCACAGGAGTTTGACATTTTTTGTAGAAAAATTCAATTGTGTGAGTTAAAAAAAGCACACTTTCTGACCCCTGAAAACCACAAATGCTTACATGAACAGATGCACACCCAGATGTTCACATACACCTGTGCACATGCGTATACATCTATACGTGGATATGCATGCATCTGTGGTAGATACATATCGTATCTATAGTAGCATTGCGTCACGCTTCGTGCCATGCAATGCCACTGCGCAGTCATAACGAGCTGCTGTGCAGTCAGCATCTTGTGGAGACGTGGCCCCTGACAGCTTTTCTTATTAAAAAGGAGGAGCACCAGGAGCGCCCCCTGCCCTAAGAGCATCTACAAGGCTAGGCCCTGCAGGGGCGATGGTACTCGCCAGCAGGCAGTCCTGGATGGCTCTGTCCAAAAGCAGCAGCAGGCATCAAACTGAGGAGCTAGGTGGGGAAGGACAGGTTTCAGGTGCCCCACAGGTGTTGGCAGTGGTCAAATAGAGCTTGTCAGGGTCAAAATAGTGGAGCTAGGCAGCTAACATGGCTGTTAGCCATGCCATGCCAGTCTCTTTAGAAAGTGGATCTTTGCTCTTCGCTCGCTTCATCACTTCCAGAAAATGTTACCCAGGGGTTATTTTTCCAGGGAATGTACTTGCATTGTAGTACGCTTTGGAGGAGATGGAGAGAGGCATAGCCGAAGAATCACTGCATTATGGATCAAAATAAGCATGAATTAATCAGCATGGCCCCAATCTCAGCCAGCAGCCGGGCAGAGACCAGCAAGACCCTGATCCTTTAGGTCTTCAAGCCAGACTTTGGCCATTCACAAGGGAAGGACTTTGCAGGGAGTGAAGAGCATGCTCAACCCTGTGAAACGGTGATCCATGTAGGGCCTAAAATCCAGCTAAGTCCCTGCCTGTGCTTTCATCTCCCAGGTGGTGCCGCAAACGCAGCTGAAGCACATCCTGTCCCTGTGGCAAGTCCTGTCAGTGAGGATATTGGTGCTGCTTGTGCAAATGAATCAGGTAACAGAAGAAATTGCAGGAAAATGTAAGCCGGGAGGAGGAGGAGGGAAGGCAATGACAAGGGCTGGCTGAAATATTGTTGCCAGCACTGGTTTTCACAGGACATCTGGGTTTTCAGCGAGTTGGAAGCCGTCAGCTTTCCACTGGTAACGTTCACCTGAGTGAATACACAAAACCTGCAAGATTTTCAATCAGAAAACTGAAAGTACAGGTTGTTCTTGGTGTCTTGGAGCTGAGCCAGATCGCAGTTGTGTTGCACAAGTGTGAAAAGCAGTAGGAAACCTGGACGAGGAGTTGTAGGAGGGCTGACTCCGAGATTGAAATCAGTAAGCTTCCAGGAAGGTCCGTGTGCTTTGGCAGAAGATGGTTTTGGGCACAGTGCAAAATATGGCTGGAAGCAAGTGCGCTCAATAAAAATCCAGTTGCTTCCTTTATTATTTCACAGTGGTTTATGCATGAAAAATCCAGGACACCAGTGGGCACTTCCTTGATACCTGGACTAAAAGCTGCCAAAGCTGTGCAGCGAGTCAGCGGTCCATTTAATCAGTTTTCCTAAAATCATAGAGAAGTGGGGCTGGAAGGGATCTTGAGAGGTCATCTAGTCCAGCCCTAAAACCATCCACCCTATACAAATATACTGTCTAACATCTTAGTCCAACTGCACAGTCCCGGACATATCCCAAGACATAACACCATAATCTGCCAGGTGTAAATCAGGGGAACCATAGTGGCCAATGTCCTGCTGCTATAAGGGTTGTTCAAAATCATTTGAGAGCTATCCGGAAGATGGCAAACACCCTCGCCCTGCTGCCCCCTCTACAGACGCACACAACAGAGGAAGGCAAAACCCCCATGGTCCATGCTCATGGTAAAGCTAACTTTGGGGTAAAACTCCACCCTGATCCCAAAAGCAGTGATTGATTTGACCCCAAGAAGCGGCTTTATGAATGCACAGAGCTCTGTGAATCAAACAGTGGCTGGCCAACCTCTTCTTGAAGAGTGATGGAGAGCCCACAACTCCCCGTTCTTGCAGGGAAGACGTTTTTTCTGATCCCCAATCTAAACCTACTTGACTGCAGTTTCAAGCCATTGGTTCATGTCCTCCTGTCTGCAGCAAGAGAGAAACGGCGCTTTCCATCTTCCTTATCATAGCACTTCCAGTATTTGAAGGGGGTCAGCTGACATTGGGGGCCTTCTGTAATGCATCTGTGTCCGCTCCTGACCATTTTGTCATTTCAGAATCCCTTTTTCCTGGTGGACAAGAGATATCAAGAGGAGCTGGAGGCAGTGAAGAGGGAGGAGCTAACAAAGGCTTTTTCCACCATCAACATTGATTTCTTCATTGCTGACCTGCATGAAATGATCGTGGTGACATTAGGCAGCTATAGTCCTAAGTGGGGGTGAGAATGAATTTCTTCTCTTTGCAAATGTGCTTTTTCTTCTCAGTAAGAAAATGTCAACCTGGGTGAACAAACTGGTTGGCGGCTAATTTATCCTTACAACTTGCACTCTGAGCATCCTTTGACACCTGTTGATTTATAGTCCACTGTTGTGGAGCTGGGATTTTTTTTTTAACCTTAAATGCTATAAAAATATTAAGAAAACAAATAGGGCTTAGAAACCGAATGTGCTGCATTTTCCTGCCCAATATCCATACACTTTTATCAAAAGCGTGAGCTCAGATTATGGAGCATTTTAAGGACAGCTCTTCAGAAACGTACGGATAGTTACTTAAAAGAGGAGATTACTAAAAATGGGTAGTCACCAGCCTCGTCTACTCGAGACGCCGGCTATGCAGTTGTTACTTTGCAGTCATTTAGCATTTGCATAACCGGTATTACTGCGCAGTAGTGTCCCAGCACGGCTACCTCGTGATGCTTATTGCGCGGTAATAACGAGCTACTGCACAATAAGCGTCTCCTGTAGATGCGGCTACCATTTAACAGACATTAAATAGTGACTAGAAGAGAGACCGAGAAACTATTTTCTATTTGTCCTAACTTGAGAAAGGGGGCAGAGTTTTTGGGAGGAGGCATTCAATGGGAAATGCAAACCCAATCACAGGAGGTGTTTTTGCCTAAGGTTCATAATTCGCCCATAAAACTAACAGCCAGATGTTCTTCCAGATTTAACTGATCTCTAATAATTAGAGACTGGGGTGAGATGGATTGTACAAGGTAGATTATGCTCCTCCTGCAGGATTTTCACAAGCATCTTATTCAACCCCCTCTTAACCCCTGCCAAACAAAGGGAGACCCAGGGTCTAGACCATCGTCAGCCAAAGAGTCCTCAAACCCACATTTCCAGCGTCCCAGCAGGGCACCCCGAGTACCGGTTGACAGACTAGACGAGGCAGGTGCATTGTTTCCCCTCATTTTGAAACTAGGTTATTAGCCAAAAGCACAGTCATCAAGCCAAAAGGGGAGCAAAGAAGAGGGACGCTGACTCTGTGAAATGGGCACAGCTAGGCATGGAGAGTCCGGAGTTGTTCTTCCTGTTGCCATGGCCCTTTATGTATTTTACTCATTAGTGGAAAACCCTGAATACCCTTGGCAGCCCAGAGCAGACCCCAGGTCTCCCTTCAGGCGTGAAGCAAATCAGCAGTGTCCGAGTGAGGTGGGCCCAGTCCCGTCTTCTCTGCTACCCAGCACTTTTTTTTCCGAACCTCTGTCCTGCAATGTTAACACGATATTTTCTCTTAAAACAGGATAGTGGAGACCTTTGAAGGATATTTGCAACAAGAGGGAAAAGAAGATCAGTACATTGAAAATCTGACCCGTACTTTGAGCCAAGACCTGCAGATGAAGAATGTCATTTCAGTCTGGAAAATGGCTGTGCAGACCAGCAAATTATACGGCTCCAGCTACAACCAAGAATGAACTGTCAGCTACCACTTTTCTCCATTGTAGCAGTGGCACGGCATTTGCAATGTCCTCACCTCCCTGGCTTTTACCTTTAGCATAGTGTAGGTTGTTTCAGGTGTTGTGCCGTGTAGCTATGAATAAGGATTTTGGACTGATGATTTTGGGAATTCCTTTGGTTAGCAGTTGCCTGCGGCTCAATGCCCCGGGAAGATCTTTCCGTACTGGTGTCCCACAGATGCCACATCCTGATTTCCGTGCACGGTAGTTGAGGAAGATTCGTTTGCTCTAGAAGTGAATCTCATTGGGTTTTTGAGGCTTGGGCTCCACTTAAGCCAGGATCAGACGTAAAATGGATGGGAGGGGTGCCTTGGCCTGTGCCTGAGATATGAATTTATCAGCCTCTGGGGGTGAATTTTACCCAGAGAGAGCTAAAAATGATGGACATGGTTCTCCCGTCACTTAAGCCTCGCCTGTAATTCAGACTTCTGTCTGTACAGGGAGGCCCAGTGGCCGGATGCTTACAACACAGGTTGGGCAGAGGAGCTCAACTAGTTTCCAGCCTCGTTTTGCCATTATCCTACTTAGTGCCATGGGTCTGCTCTCCATGCCTCAGTTTCCCTACCAGTAGCACACTTTGAGATGTAGCGTGTTTTTATTCCACCACTCTGCTGCTTCAGCACCAGGTGCTGCATATTGGCAAAGTGATCCCATCCTGCCCCATACAGCTGTCTTGTACAGACTAGGCCTGACGCCAGTGCTTTGCCGAAATAATGTTACTGGTGGGTGTCACTAGGGCTGACATTTTGCAGCTAAGCCAGTGCAAGAAGAGGGAAGAGCACCACTGGATGAACTTTGGCAACTACATGGGGAATGGGGCATGCACAGCGCAGGGCCCTGGAGAATCAGGCGTGTGGGATTTGTACAGAGTACGAGGCACCGCACTGGATGGTCTCAGCGAGGGAATCGCAGGCTGGGTCACAGTTTCCCTCATCGCGTGCTTTAGCTCTTGGACTGTGCTTCAGCCGCTGGAGGTCAGGATCTCCCTGGCTGGGTTGGAAGGGACCTCAGGAGATCATCTAGTCCCACCTTCTGCTCCAAGTGGGACCATCCCCAACTGTCTCGTCCAAGCCAAGGCTTTGTCGAGCCGGGTCTTAAAAACTTCCAAGGACGATGAATCTACAGTCTCTCTGGGTAAACTGTTCCAGCGCTTTGCTACCCTCCAAGTGAGAGAGTTTCTTCCCAATATCCAACCTAAACAGCCCTTGCTGTAACTTGAGCCCATTGTTCCTTGTCCTGCCATCTGTCCCCACTGAGACCAGCCCAGCTCCATCCTCTTTGCAGCCCCCCTGCAGGGAGGTGAAGGCTGCTATTCAACCCCCCTTGGTCTTCTTTTCTCCAGACTCAATCAGCCCAGCTCCTTCAGCATCTCCTTGTAACTCATGTGCCGCAGCACCCTCACCATTTTTGTTTTTCTTGGAAATCTACCTTTTCTTGACATTTGCTATGCAGCCAGTATAGTGCCCAAGATGTTAGCCATATAATTCTTCCAGCGGTGCTCCTGACAGCCTGCTTGATGCACCTGTAGCCGCGCACATGGCATGATGTCTCCATCGCATAGGGAAAGCAATGCTGCAGCTGGAATCATGTCTAGAGGCCCCCAGAGAAATTCAGATGCCTTGACTTGCAGATCTAATAGTAGGATTGAAGGATAAATCTTTTGTTCATAGTTTTTAATGTCTCAAGGCAACCATGACCATCAGCTCCCTGCTTAACAAAGATCAGATGATTCCGCCGAGCGAGTCCTGCATACTGTAAAAAACCATATTTATTGTGTATTGCATAGAAATCGTTTGTATATGTGGTCACAACTCTTATACAGCTGCTTGGAGGTCCATTAGTAATGAAAGGAAAAGGATCACATTTTTTTTTATAATTATGTAGATGCTA